CAAGTGGTTTCAAAAGTCCAAATAAAAGCTAAAAGTTACGTAACACCCAACGGCACAAAGGAAGAAAGCTTTAGAAAATTAATAAGGAGTACCCTTGATACAGCTCTGCTGTTTTTTCCTTATTGACGCACATTGACTGTGTATTTAACAGCATTCAGTCACAGACACCTAACAGTTTGAGTACTGTGCTCGAGATAAATTTGAACTATTTTACGTAACTCAATTAGTAGTTCAATTAATCGATCGAATTATCACTGCAGATTTCTTAGAGGAAATCTATACCGGCTTACCCTATGATCATCCATAGACATCAGTAAGTTCTCCATATGGATACAACACCTAAGCTTACGTGAAAAATGTCATGTGTATGTCTGTGTATGTGTGACTGGTTCCTAGTGGTTGTCGCCTAATCTCTATGGTCACGTACCACTAATCCAACTTCTGTTTTATGTGTTTCAAAGTCGTTTCACATTAAAGCTGCCTACCTGAGAAGGAATCCGGATGAGTTTGCCCACTCTGTGCAGATTGAAAGTTTCTTCAGATTAGATTCAATGCAGAATACTAGGTCATTTAGTGACGGAATTATTTACCGGCAGCAGTTTCCAGAAAGACATTTCTTTTGACGTTCTATGTATGGATGTTAAGATGATCTGGTATCATTCCGTCTCTAGGACCTATTCTAGCCGACATTTTCATGGGTTTTCTCGAACAGACATGACTTAGTGACGCTATCCATGAAACAACATACTATCGTCGATACGTCGATGATACGTTTGTTGTTTGTAACGACATGAGTCAGGTACCCGTATTATTTGACCGCCTTAATGAGATACACCCAAACATTAAATTCACGGTGGAGTATGAACACAACGATGAGTTCACTTTCCTGGACCTAAATGTAAAAAGAAGAGACGATGGGACGGTTGAAAAGTCCATTTACAGAAAAGAAACCTGGACAGGACAATACCTTCACTACAACAGCTTCTGCCCTATAAGCTATAAGCGGGGATTGGTAAAGACACTGTACGACAGGGCCAGGAAGCTATGCTTGCCTAACAAGGTAGAAGAGGAATTAAGCTATGTTGAAAAATGCCTTAAGGAAAACGGGTAACCAAAGGGATATTTCCTAAAGTACAGCAAAGAAAGATATGAGAAAGAGAAGTATCCAACAGTTGAAAAGAAGAAAGTGTTCATTTGCCTCTCATACAATGGAGAAGCAGTATTACAAAAGATTGACAAGAGGATGAAAGTAGCAATAAAAAGATGCTTCTCACCAAAAGCTAAGCTGATGACACTATACAGCACTACAGGCTCTGTAAGCCAACTGAAACTGGATTAGTACCCTGCTGATGTCACCTCCAACTGCATTTACAAATTTACGTGCACCTGCGGCAGCAAGTAAATTGGAAGGACAGAAAGAAGGCAGGGTTTCTATCCGCCATCTTCAGAGCATATTCCAAGAAACGTATGCTTAAAAGGAAGCAAATATTTACAAAGTGCAATTACCACATTTCCAAATCCTTCAATACACTAAACATACGAAGGACATAGAATTTACTCCGACTTTCTGAAGCGATTGCAATCAAATGTCTCAGACCAAACTTATGTTCACAGACAAAGAGAGAGTGTGCAGTCAATCTCTCACTCCCTTCGTAACCGTATTAATTCCAGTACACTGATTAGTCATACACACTGGTGAGCTGAGCTCACTAAGCAAGTTTTCAATTTGATGAACGTTAACCTTGTTGAGTTGACATGTTGACGTACAAGATAACAATGTCTACTCAATTTTTCTGTTTTCTATCTTCTCTCACCCCACTCACCCCATTTGTCATAGTTTGATAGTATATAAATTGATGGTAAATCAAACTAAAAATTCTAGTACTTATACTCCGGATGCGTTCATCTTATAATGTTTTCACTATTACCTTTCAAACATTGAAGTATGAAATATTATTATTTATAATCATTGTAATTTCAAGTAGTTTGCAGCAGTTGATGAGAACCTGTGAAATAGACTTATGATATCACTTTATACTGCAAAATTCTTACATTCTGCCTATACTTCTTTACTGTTCCCCTACAACTTAATCTTTCCTGGGTTACTTAAGGAAGACTTTGTTTGTTAGACTGAGAAGGGCACTAAAAGCCGTCAGTAGGGCAGGTTAATACTACTGTAGACAGATACTTGGATTCCTACAAGAAATTAGCAAATATTATCCTGTCAGACTCTGAACCTCCTCTCCATATACTACTCTCTCCTTGCTGCATCTCATCAGGTAGGTAGAACTAGAAGCAACTATAGAAGAAAGCCTGTATGCTCAGACGACTAAGCACAAAAACTATACAATTTCTTATTTGGTGGGCACACGTTTTACGTGCTGAAAAAAGTGCGTAAGACAGGAAATTACCAACTTAATGAGGAACTCTAAGTAAACGGCCGCATTTTTTGATCTCTTTCTTACATTATCGCCAATATTTTCACTTGATTTAATTTTATATTCACTTCTTACTGAGCAATATTATTAAATGTAAATTATTTTTAATGTAAATGCCCTATTTTAATTATTGCCCCTGTAATAAGAAAATTAGCTGCAATACTGTATACTGCATGCTGAAAATTCTATATTTGTACCAAACGTGCTGTTTTAGAATAAACGCATTATTATTATCCCTTTCGTGTTCTCTGTGTTGTGGTTTCAACAAGCATCCTCCAAGCATTTCTCCTCTTCGCCGTGAAATTAATCTATCCATCCATCTGTCTGCTATTCGACACATTATTCTTGCAGATATATTTACATATATGTATCCACATACTCCGTATAAACCTTGTCAGTATCACGCGCCAAATTATTGTAAATCCTATTAGTTATGATGGAGAATAATAGGCTTTTCGATTACTGCGCTACATTTGCATAGTTACCTAAAACTCTGATTTTTGTGGAATATCTTGTCAAAAAGTTGCAAAAAACTATTACAATTATTTGCCTTTGAAACACTGAATCTTTGGATATAATATTGTATATCAATTATACCTATAACTATCTATTTGCCACTCTGTGCTTGTTTAACACTAACTAATACCTATAATTGTATATATATTGATGGATTTACATGTTCAAGTTGGCTCAAGTCAGTGAGTCTATGATTTTGGTATCATTTTGGTTAACTGTAATTGACTGTGATATTATTATTGTTGTTGTCGCTTGTTACCCTTCTTGTTGTGAATTATTTTCCCGTACTGGTGTTGTTCTGCTTGTTTTATTCCCTGTTTTCCTGGTTTTAAGGGGAGCAACCCACAAGGTCGCTTCTCTCTAAATTTTAATTTAATGTAACAATCCCCCTTCCCAGGCGTGAGGCTAGCAACCCCACCCTGTAAACAAACCTGCTACAGAAACTTCAGCACGATGAATCTCCTCGAGCCAAAAGAAAAAGTCTGTGTGGGGACATGGAATGTCCGCACCATGTACGAGATTGGCAAAGCTGCCCAGATCGCAAACGAAATGAAAAGATACAGAATTCAAGTACTGGGAATATGTGAAAGCAGATGGAACGGGAATGGACTCACCAAATTGTCAACGGGTGAGTCAGTGATCTACTCCGGTCACCCAGAAGATAACCACTCGCACACCGAGGGCGTGGCTATCATGATGTCACCAACGGCAACGAAGGCCCTGATGCAATGGGAGGCGATCTCGCCCAGGATAATAACCGCCAGATTCAACTCCAAAGGAAGGAAAGTGTCAATTATACAATGCTATGCACCGACAAACAACGCAGACCTCGAAACGAAAGAAGAATTCTACAGACAACTACAGGCAACAATGGACAATACTCCAGCTGGTGACATTAAAATACTAATGGGAGACATGAACGCCAAACTGGGACCAGACAACACAGGAAGGGAACTCATCATGGGTAGAGAAGCTCTCGGAGAAATGAATGAAAACGGAGAACTCTTCGCCGACTTCTGCGCCTTCAATGAACTAGTGATTGGTGGCAGCGTATACAAACACAAGGATATCCACAAGGCTACATGGGTGTCACCAGATGGGCGAACCAAAAACCAAATCGACTTCATCTCAATCTCAAGGAAGTGGAGGCGCAGCCTGCTGGACACAAAAGTAAGAAGAGGAGCAGACATTGGCTCAGACCACTATCTCGTACAAGGGACAATCCAAATCAAATTAAAAGCTTTCAGAGAATCAGGAGCTGCAGATAGACCACAAGCCAAGTTCAACACTCAAAAACTGAAGGACCAGGACACAAAGGACATCTTCACTGCAAGCATAAAGGACAAAGCCGAGACACAAATCAACACTGGCGAAGAGGTCAGCGTCGAAAAGCACTGGAACAACTTGAAAACAGTGTGGAGTCAAACCTGCATGGAAGTTCTAGGCAGAAAGAAGAGACAGGACAAACAGTGGCTCACTACGGACACTTGGAGACTAATAGAAGAGAGAGGGATGGTGAAACAAAAGATTCTCCAGTGCACCGATGAGCAACAAAAACAGGATTTGAATGCAAACTACAAGACACTGAACAAAAGAGTAAAGAAGAGTGCCAGAGAAGACAAAAGAAAGTATTATGAAACCATGGCAAGTGAAGCAGAACAAGCTGCAGGCAAAGGAGACCTCGCAACACTCTACCAAACAACTAGGTACCTATCGGGCAAACGTTTGACACAAATCAAGCCGGTGAAGGATGACAATGGAAAGTCACTCAACAAAGAAGTGGAGCAAAGGAAACACTGGGCTGAACACTTCAAAAGACTCCTAAATCGACCACCACCTACAACGCGCCCAACAATACCAACAACGGAGACAGAGCTACCAGTGAACACCAACCCCCCGACGAAATCAGAAGTCCTGAAGGCAATCAAGATGCTAAAAGCTGGAAAAGCAGCAGGACCAGATGGAATCCCAGCAGAAGCATTGAAAATGGACCCAGAGACAACAGCGGACTTGATGACGCCACTACTGGAGAAGGTGTGGAAAGAAGGCAAAGTACCCGAGGATTGGAAGAAAGGATACTTATTCAAACTACCAAAGAAAGGAGACTTAAGTCAATGCAAGAACTGGCGCGGAATTATGCTCCTGTCCATCCCAAGCAAAATACTAAGCCGCATCATCCTGGAGAGAATCAAACATGCCCTGGATGAAAAACTTCGACCGGAACAGGCTGGATTCAGGAGAAACAAGTCATGCATTGATCAGATCGCCACATTACGGATCATCATTGAACAAAGCCTGGAATGGCAGTCACCTCTCTATCTCAACTTCATCGACTTTGAAAAGGCCTTTGACAGCGTCGATCGAGAGGTGATTTGGAAACTACTTCGCTACTACGGGGTGCCACCGACAATTATACATCTCATCCAACAGCTGTACGACAATGCTGCATGCCAAGTAATCCACAACGGGAAACTTACGGAATCCTTCGAAGTGAGGACAGGAGTAAGACAAGGCTGCCTACTATCGCCAATGATTTTCCTGATTGCAGTAGACTGGATAATGCGACAAACAGCGGGCAATGAGGAAACAGGCATAAAATGGACTCACACAAAAAACTTGGAGGATCTGGACTTCGCCGATGATATATGTCTGATTTCCCACAAACTGGAAGATATGCAAGCGAAAAGCAACAAGTTGGCAGAAGAAGCATCAAAGATAGGACTTCAGGTGAACATAGAGAAAACAGAGGTGATGAAGATTCCTGGGCAACACCACCAACAGCAACAACAACAACAGACAACAATCAGCATAAATGGGAGGAACCTGAAAGAAACAACCTCCTTTACCTACCTGGGAAGCATCGTTTCAACTACAGGCGGAACTGACGAGGATATCAAAGCAAGAATCGGAAAAGCAAGACAAGCTTTCACTACTCTCAAGTCTGTGTGGAGGTCAACAACACTCAGCATCAAAAATAAGATCCGGATTTTCAACTCCAATGTGAAGCAGTCAGTGCTACTATACGGATCAGAGACTTGGCGCGTCATAAAGAGCATCTCAAACAAACTACAGACCTTCATTAACAGTTGTCTTCGCTCAATACTCAAGATCAGATGGCCAGAAAAGATCAGCAACAGGGATCTCTGGCAATGAGCGAACCAACCAGGAACCGATTGTGCAACAAATATGCAGAAAGAAATGGAGATGGATTGGCCATACTCTGAGGAAACCATCAAGTGACATCACTAGACAAGCCATTGCTCGAGTGGAACCCGAAAGGGAAGCGGCGAGTTGGTCGTCAGTGCAAGGGTGACTTGGAGGAGGTCATGTGAAGAGGAGATGAAAACGTGTGGGCAGACATGGAGCCAGGTGAAGACTCTAGCAGAGAACCGAACTCAATGGAGACGTACGGCTGAAGCCCTATGTTCCTCTAGGAATTAAAGGATACAATAATAATAATAATAATATGATGGAGAAAATTTGTAGCTCAGGTGGATGATTTTGAAGTAGTTGTGTTCGTTGAGGTGGATAGTGGTTTATTTGCGAAGCTTTCATTGACCAACTAGGAAACATCTTCAGCAAATACTTCAATTTGTTGAAGTGAGCTTATAGATCTCTCCACGAGTTTATTAATCATCTCTCTTAATCTGTGACCTTGAACCTGGTTGGTTGTTTTTGTGTCTTTTCACACCCTCTAGGCTACTTGTATTGGAACTGATTGTTTACTTGACTTGAACTTTGACACTGTGTGTGTAAGATTTCCTTCTTATCGATTAGTAAATTTTGTCTCTGTCATTGTGTCTATTATTAATTGAAGATTCACTGGAATACCAGGCAGGCTTCTAAAAATTCTCTAACATTCCTGGTGTTTCCTCTGTCTAATATTTGAAAGTTGGTTGTCCCAGTCGAATTGATGTCCATGGTTGTCTGTATGCAGTGTCTGGATAAAACTCACAATTTAATAAATAACGTCTTCAACGACATCAAATTCCCGAGAGAAAAGGAATCCAAGAACAAAATCCCGTTTTTGGATGTCTTAGTCAAGGGAACAACCACAGGGGAATTAGAAACTCAAGTTTAGAGAAAATTAACTCACACAGACCAAATACTGAATTACAACAGCAACAATCCAACAACACACAAAAGGAATTTCATACAAACACTATTCAAGAGGGCAATGACTCATTGCAGCACTCCCACCTTAAGGAAAATTGAAGAAAGATATCTCATGGAGGTCTTCCAAAAGAATGGATATTCACGGAATTTCATCAAAAGACGTGTACCCCCAAGCCAACCTACCAAATCAAAGGTCCCCAAGGAAAACTCAAAGAAAATTACCCTGTTATACATAAAGGACATCTCAGAAATCACTGCAAGACTCTTCAAACATTTAGGAATTGATATGGCACAGAAACCAACAAAACCAATTCACTCAGCTGGGTTTGTGTCAACCAAAAGACGCAACAACGAAGGAAGATAAAACCAACGTCATCCACAAAATAAATTGCAACGACTGCAAAAAACACTACATTGACCTAAGTGGACGTTCCCTTCGTCTTCGTATCCATGAACATAAGCTAGCCAGACATCAGTTCGACTGACACAACCAACTTTCAAATATTAGACAGAGGAAACACCAGGAATGTTAGAGAATTTTTAGAAGCCTGCCTGGTATTCCAGTGAATCTTCAATTAATAATAGACACAATGACAGAGACAAAATTTACTAATCGATAAGAAGGAAATCTTACACACACAGTGTCAAAGTTCAAGTCAAGTAAACAATCAGTTCCAATACAAGTAGCCTAGAGGGTGTGAAAAGACACAAAAACAACCAACCAGGTTCAAGGTCACAGATTAAGAGAGATGATTAATAAACTCGTGGAGAGATCTATAAGCTCACTTCAACAAATTGAAGTATTTGCTGAAGATGTTTCCTAGTTGGTCAATGAAAGCTTCGCAAATAAACCATCCAGCTCAAAGAACACAACTACTTCAAAAAAAAATATGTTCAAATCTTTAATGTAATGTAATTCATATTTTTTATCGTTCAGGTTTTAACCAGTTGAGAAGAATCCTCGAAATAATAAAAGATGAGCTCATATCCTGGTACAATTGTTGTTCTTGCTTTGTTCAAAAAATTTATTATTATTATTATTAGCATTATTACTCATAATATGATTCCACCAACTGCCAGTCATTCTGCAAAAATGATGCCGGTCATATATTTTCTTTTTCTTTTTTTAGATTCTCGTTAAATATCAGATTTAAAAATCAATATTTTACAAACTTACGCCTGAGGTATGTAACTTCCTCAGCTTGACCGACTTGAAAAGATAATTCTACTGTGAATTTTAACACAATATATTATATAATCCAGGTCATATTGATCCTTATCACAAATTATTTTTAATTATTCAGTTTCATTTGTGTATTTTATGTTTATAGTGTAATTAACTCTAACCTGACTGGTCTGAAGAAGTAATCAGGTATGACTATTTGTGATCTTGTGTTGTTATGCCTGGATGTAAATTGATCAGCTTCATTGTTGGCATGTGAGTTCCTTCAGTGGACAATGTCTCGATATTACCAGGATGAAGAATTTGAAGCTAATTTTTTTTCTTAACTGATGGCTAACAGTAGAATCTAGATTGCGAGTTTCGTCCCAACTGAGACTCATCAGCTAAGATACGATTTCAATATTCCTCCCTCTGGCAACAAACTAGCTAAGAATCATTTGTTAGACCATCACATATGCAGGAGAAAATGAATATCGATTGGATATACACTCTGAGGAGACCTTTGAGTGACATCATGTGCCAGGCTATCGAATCGAAATTCAAGTGTTGGTTTGTAGGGATTTGATTGACTCTGGTTACAGGATTTCATCATGAGCTGACATTGATTAGAGAACCATTGGAAAACCTGCAGGGAGTACTGGACAGCTGTTTCCTCCCCCCTAGTTTGGGACTCTTCAGCAGTGCGAACCCAGGACCTTCTGGTTACAAGGCTAGCGAGCTCGTAGGCCATTAAGCCACTGGGACCCGATACATAGCGCGACTGGCGCTAGCCAATGTCTTCGGCGAGTATTTGTCCTCACAACCGACCTGCTGCACCCTGCTGTTCACGACTTCTCACTAGAACCCCAGGTAACTACCTACCTGAATAGGACAAGTCGCCAGTGAGCATCTCATCGATATTCAAGTATTGGTTTGTAGGGATTTGATTGGTTATAGGAAACAACGTGTCCGATTCCTGAGTATGACATAGAAGAGATCGTGTGAAAAGGAAATGAAAGCTTGTAGGCAATGGCGGAGGCAGCTAAATGGGGCTCCAGAGAACAGAGTGAAATGGTGAAGTGCTGGTGATGCCTTATATTTAATCTAGAACAGAAGGGAATAACAATAATAATAACTACTATAAATAACCTTCGCTTCAAATGACAAAGATTTATCGACTAAACTAACACTTTACGAAACCTTTTAGATCTCTTCACGAGTTTATTAGTCATCTCTCCTGGTGACTTTGAACATTGTGATTGGTTGCTTTTGTGTTTTCACACCCTCTAGGCTACTTGAATTGGAACTCATTGTTTTCTTGATTTGAACCTTGATACTTTGTGTGTGAGATTTCCTTCTTATCAATTGATAAATTTTGTCTTTGTCGATGTGTCTATTAATTGACGATTCAATGGAATACCAGGCAGGCTTCTAAAAATTCTCTAGCATTCTTAGTGTTTCCTCTGTCTAATATCTGAACGTTGCCCCGTTCCAACTGATGTCTGTATGCAGCGATATGAGCGTGGGAATGGATGTCATGTCTTTTGACGGCTAGTTTATGATCATGGATAAGAAGACGAAGGGGTAGTCAGCTTCGGCCAATGTAGTGTTTTTCACAGTTGTTACAGTTTATTTTGTAGATGATTTTCGTTTTATCTTCATTCGTTGTTGAGTCTTTTGGTTGAAACAGTGCCAGCTGAGTGCAGTGATTTTGTTGGTTTCTGTGCGACGTCAATTCCTAAAAGTTTGAAGAGTCTTGTAGTGATTTCTGAGATGCCTTTTATATATGGCAGGGCGATTTTATTTGTACTCTCCTTGGGGGCCTTTGATTTGATAAGTTGGCTTGGGTTTTGAGTGGAATATAAATCAACAAGACATCTCCACTGTGTCCTATTATCTGCTATCCACTTTATCTGGCACCACGATTGCTCATAGTATCTCATCTCCTCCTCCCACGACCTCCTTCATGTCATCCTCAGACTCAAACCTAGCTCATCTCTGTTTCCCATTCTGCTTCCCCTTGAGTGTTTGCCTGGCACACGATGTCATTTGACGGTTTCCTAAGAGTATGCCCAGTTCATCTCTAATTTATCCTACATATTTGTTGAACGATAGGTTCTTGGTTGGTTCGTTCCCAGAGGTTCTCGTGGCTAACTGTTTATGATTGGCCATCTGATCTTCAGTATGGGGCCATAGGAGGCAGTTGTTGATAAAAATCTGCAGTAGCCTGTTGGGAATGCATATTGTGACCCCACGGACCAAGTTTCTGACCCACATAGAACAACTGACTTAACACTGGTGTTACGATTTCTCCCTAGAACTACTGGTAACTTCCTGTATAGAGTCAGTTACTAGTGAGCATCAGATAAATTATCAAGATTTGGTTTTCTGGAACCAATCAAATGCCTGAAAACCAACATCTACTTTTGAGTAGAAAAGAAGACAACTCAATAAAATGATCAGTTTACAGAAAGGCTACTTGAACAGAGGAGTAGAATCTAAATTCCCCCTCCCCCCCCCCAGACTGCAATACTAGACGAGGTTGGCAAAATGTTTATTTAAGAGAATTCATTGTATTATTTATACAACTCATACCACAGATGACGACAATAAAACAAAATTGTCCTAAAAACTCTTACGGACAATTGATTATCTTTGAAGGCTTTCAGACTGGCTTTGAAAGGATATTTAGCTCCAAAAGTCAACTGTTTACTTTGTTCCACAGAAGGATGTTCCTTTGCATTCCAAATAGAACATATAAGTCTCCAAGCTTATGCTTTCAAGTTTCAACAGAAATAATGGTATTGTTCTTACGATGTGGGGTTCCTAGACCCATGCCCAAACTTCCCACTTCACTAGACTTACTATTGACTAGGCGAGGTGTAGGAATTCATCGGCCATGAGTCGAACCAAGACCAGTGTCCTGGTTAGCGAGCATTCTACTACTCGACTAACAACTCACAAAGTC